GAATCCTATTATCCAATAACATTCTTCACCAAGCTGCCTAAATTTTGCAATGAAACAAATTATAGGAATTAAAAAAAGGTTAGTTCATCAAAAATACAAAAATCAGCCATCATTTACTCTTCCTTATGTTGTTGTAAACTTTTTTGACTTTCATTTTTCCATGGAACACAAAATAGATAAATAAATAAACATCTTTGTCTTCTCCATAAATCAAAAGTAAATATAGTTCAGATCAGATGGTGATGAACTCCAAATATGACCAAAACAGTACCATAAAAGTGGTCAACATGACTTGTGCTATTTATTTAAAGAGTTCTGAAGTCATACAACAGTTTGATGTGAGCAACAGTCAGAAATTTAAGTCATTATATGCTAAAAATCAAAGCTTTAAAGGGATAGTTCACCCAAAAATGAAAATTACCAAATGATTTACTCACCCTCAAGCCATCCTAGGTGTATATGTCTTTCTTCTTTCAGACAAATACAATCGGAGTTAGATTAAAAAATGCCCTGGCTCTTCAAAGCTTTATAATGGCAGTGAATGGGGGTCAAGATTTTGAAGCCCCAAAAAAGTGCTCCACATGGCTCCAGGGGTTAATAAAGGCCTTCTAAAGTGAAGCGATGCGTTTGTGTAAGAAAAATACCCCCATTAAAAACTTTATAAACTGTGTTTGCAGATGTATATTTTAAGTGCTGCTTCTGCTAAGATGTATAGTTTTGTGATGTAATAAGTGAAATTGTATTTTTGTTTTTATTTATTTGAAGACTGTTTGTCTTGGATTGATGTGTGGACCCCAGGAAGACTAGCAACCACTTTGTGGGAGCTAATGGGGATCCAAATAAACAATAAGCAATCTCTAGCTTCGGCTAACTGTCGTACACACATTCACGAGAGAGTGCCGTTCCAGCGGCTGACATAGGACGTGGGCGTACCGTAAGCTCCCCCCGGAGCCGTGTGGAGTATACTTTATGAAAGATGGAAGCACTTTTTGGGGCTTCAAAAACTCGACCCCCATTCACTGCAATTATAAAGCTTGGAAGAGCCAGGATATTTTTTAATATAACTCAGATTTTATTCATCCAAAATAAGTCATATACACCTAGGATGGCTTGAGGGTAAGTAAATCATGGGGTAAATTTCATTTTTGGGTGAACAATCCCTTTCAATGAAGCCCAACAGCATTGATTCTCTTGTCTCATAACTGTGAACAGAACAACTGACAGACAGAATGATAAAAAAGAATGACAGAATGACAGAACAATAGAAAGACAGAACAACAAAATGAAAAATAGAACAATAGAACGACAGACAGATACAATGACAAAACAGACAGATAGAATGATATATTGACAGACTGATAGAATGAAAGACAGAATGGCGGATAGACAGACAGACAGACAGACAGACTGAGAGAGAGAATTACAAAAATATTATAGAAATATGAAACGATGGCTAGAATGATATAACGAACGACAGAAAGAAAGATAGAACTAAAGAATGATGGCTAGAACAACAGATAGAAAAACAGGACAATAGAACAAATAAAATGACAGACAGATAGAATTACAGAATAAATATAGAACGATATAAAAACAGACAGATGATGTCAGACAGAACAACTGAGAGAATGATATAATGATCGATAGAATGATAAATAGGATGACAGATATAGACATAAAAAAAACTATAAACAGATAAATACAGACAGACAGACAGACAGATAGATAGATAGATAGATAGATAGATGCCACATCTTGCTTGTAATCATTGAGAGAAAGTTTGACATATCCTAATATTATATTTGACACTTTATGCACTGCTGAAGATACAAACAAGACAAAGTAAATAGGGCAGATAATGTTTTTTACCTTGTAGTTGCATACTCAGGCCGGTAACCTGTGTGAGAGACAGATTGTAAGAGAGTGAGAGAGAGAGAGAGAGAGAGAGAGGGAGAGAGAGAGAGAATA